CACTGTGGAGTGCTGATTGCACAGGTAGCCCATAATGGCATGCGGACTTCGACCTCTGTCAATGCTCGTTATCAAGTCGGCAAATTTTGTACCATCTGCAGGTATAACCTCCAGCTGTCGTCGATCTGTCGCTGCTTGATTATGATTGTGTCTTTGATTGTGAAACGTATTCAGCAGCATCTCGGTGCCACCGGCCACCACAATGCTATTGGTGACACCACTCATGCCCGAGAGAACCTCACCCGCATCGCTGGCAGAGAACTGCTGTGCGGAGAAGCGCAGCTGAGTGGGCTGCAGTTGGAGATGCTTGAAGCGCCTGTAGATGCAGTACGTGGCCATGGAGAGCAGCACCGAAATGCTGAGCAGACCCAACACCATCAAGCAAATGATGACAAAGATATTGCTGTTGAGCAGAAAGTCCCGCTGCGCTGTGGGCTGCACGATGAGACTCATTTGGACGGCATCCTTGCCGCCGGCGTTCTCCGCCAGGCAGGTGTAGACGCCCTCGTCGCTCTTCTCGGCACCCACAATGGTCAGACGGGAGGTGAAGACATCGCGACCAAATTGTGGATCCCTCGTTGACCTCCGTGTGTCCTCGCGCAGCATCTCGATGTGGACACGCGACGTGGTGCCCGATTTGTACAGCTGCTTGTTGTAGTCCCAGGCCACGACGGTGTTCGGTGAGCCGTGCACGCGACAAATGAGCGTTACGTTCTCCTTGGAGGTGTTGATGGAGGCACCGCGTGAGGGATAGACAATCTTGGGCTTGCAGGCGAATGCCTCCGGCTGATCCTCAATCCACAGCATGCTGCGCAGCGCCAACGGATAGCGGCAGGCCGTGGGCGGAGTATAGAGATTCATTTTGAGGACAAAGTCACGAAACTCCTGCAGATCGCAGGTGCAATTCCAGGGATTCTGATCCAGCGACAGTGCCGTCAGACGGGTCAGACTTTGGAAAGTCTCGCGATGCAGCACGCGGAACTGATTGCCATCCAAGTAGATTTGCGAGAGCAGCGGCACGCCCTGAAACGCCTCCACATCGATGCTCACCAGCCGGTTGTGCTTCAGCTCGATCTTGTGCAGATACTTTAGATGGTGAAAGACGCCGCCGCGCAGCGTCTGCAACAGATTGCCATTGAGCACCAGGGCCCGGACCTTGGTCAGGCAATCAAAGACATTGGGCGGCAGTTCGCGCAGAAAATTATTGGACAAATCCAGCTCAATGAGTATCTCCAGCTGCTTGAAACTCTGCGGTATAATCCGCTGCAGTGTGCTGTTCCGTATGAACAGCTTGTGCAGATTCTGCAGCTGTGTGGCCAGAAATGCGTTCTCCTCCAGCGAGAGTATTTGATTCTGTGAGAGATCCAGCACCTGCACCTCCGAGCTGAGATACTCGGGCACACCGCTGAGGCTCAAATTGCGACAGTCTGCAGTCTTCTTGCCAGAGTTCCACTTGCAGTGGCAGTTGCCACAATCCATTAGCCAGTCACCACAAGCGAGTGGCAGCAGCAGCGAGACCAAACAGAGGCATTTAAAGAGTTGCAGCGGCGAGAAGCGAAGTGGCGAGAGGCGAAGTGGCGAGAGGCGAAGTGGTAGAGGATTTGGCAGGCAAAGTGGCAGAGGATGATGACTACTTGTGTTGCTTGAGATGACCATGGTGGCAACGGCGGCCGCTGCTGCCTGTGTCACATAATCTTAGCTCATGTGGAAGCCGGGGGACGCGCAGCCAGTGACTCGTTATATGCCGCAGACTGTGACTCTGCCTGTGATTCTGTGATCTATGAATTAGACTGTGACCTAATCTAAGCCTTGGGAGTGTGACTCTGCCTCTGTCTCTGCCTCAGTACGTGCCTCAGTTCCTGCCACGCTTCAGCCCTAACCCCCTACAAATGGCAGGTGCAACTCCTGCCCTAACCATAAGCACATCCCTTAGGAATTATCATGCTCAGGCAGCGGCGCATGTGAGTTTCCCAGTTGCAGTTGCTCCACTCCTTGCTGTTGCCGTTGCACTTTGAGTGCTACGTGCTACCAGCCTCATGCCTTCATGCAAATCAGTGTTTTTTTTTTTTCTTCCTGTGGGCAACTTTTTATCGTTCGTTATATTTTTTGTGCCTTACCATCCATACGTCTACGTCAGCTGTGAGCGTTGCAGGTTCGGTTTTTTGTGGTTCGTTTGTACTAAAATGAAATGTGAATGAATTTACATATGCATATCGGGTACATAAATATTTGCATAATGGCAGCGATTGCGAGAGTACGTGTAGATAGTTGGACACAGGAGGTACACCAGACATGGACACATGTATTATGAATTGACAAAGCAAGTTTCAGGCAAAAACCCCTCAAGATATGCAGCTTGGAAATGAAGCTCGTCCTGGCACTCTCTCTCTCTCTCTATCGACTTCCACACACTTCAAAGCAAATCCACCTTTTATTTTTTAGCAGCTTAGCTTTGAGCAGAGTTCTCTCAACGGACCAACCCGAGACCATCTACTTAATGCTGCTGATAACACTGCTTGCCCCTGTCTTGAACTGCTTTGTTCGTTATTCTTTTTTGCTGCTGACATTCGTTCTTGGTCAATGGTGGGGGGAGGCTTGGCTTGGCTTGGCGCCTTCTCGGTTTCACCTTCGTCACTCTGTCGACCTCCCCGCCCACAATATGACAAACGGCTAAGCACAGTTAATTCCATCAACAGTGGTGCCAAACACACACACACACACACACACACACCCACGCACACGCACACGCACAGCAACAAAAACGAAGAAAAAGAATTTGGAACACAAAAGGCACTCTGGCAGCAGCAATATTCGTCTTTACACTTTTCTTATTCCGTTTTGTCTTTAAGTGATTTGGTTTTGGTTTTGGTTTTGGTTTTGGTTTCGGTTTCGGGTTTGTTTTTGATCCGCGACACTGGCCCTGACGGCTCGGGCGGGTGGTCGGGTGGTCGGGTGGTCGGCACTTGATTGGCTTGACTTGCACCACCTGATAATTTGCCAATTATACTGGAGGGAGGGGCACGAGGGATGGGACAAGTACAATTCATATTTGGCCAACAACAAAAAAAAAACGCTTTAATATCAGCGCTAATGAATGCGTGTATTTAGTTGGAAATTTCATCAATTTACTCTGTGAAAAGTTCCAAGGTGAAAATACAACCGAAAACACTGACGCCGCGCCAGAAACAGAACAAAAACAGTTTTCGACACACAACCAACAGACACACGGTGTCGCTGCCGACAACGATGTTCGTTCACGAATAACTGTTTTGTTTCCCGTTACTCACATTACTTATACGCCCTTTCGTTTACAGCGGGGCTAACAGTGTCGTTAGCAGTAGCAGCGACATTAACATTGCGCATGGCAGGTAGCATCCCAGCTCTGCACTCTTCGCTCTGCTGCTGCACCTGCTCCGTTATGGCGAAACGGCACCTAGACATTAGGCTGGACTTAAACTCTCTGGTGGGGCGAGCCACGAGGCTGGACCATGATGCGTTCGTGGCTAGCAGTTAGTGTATATTACATTTCACACTCTCTCTCTCTCTCTCTCTCTCTCTCTCTCTGTCTTTGCACACCACGTAAAGCTTTCATGCCTGCAGCCTTGATCAGACAGAGACAGTAGAATGAGAGAGACCTTTTGTTGTTTGTATGTGTATAATGAGACTGTGAAAGAGTAAAACCAGCAACCAGAAGTCGTCTAAAGCTTCTTTATTAGCCTGCAGCTAAACTTGGAACATCATTTATGCCAGCGAAATCAATGTGGATTGTGCCATTGCTCTCATCGTGGAGCACAGCTGGCTGCAGATCCTTGCTGAAGGAGAGGCCTGTGTAGCGTTCGATGTCTTCGATGCGGTGACGATGATTGCGAAAGCTGCCAGCACCTCTGCCACCGTTCTTAATGATGTACGCCTCAGTTTCAGTCTCAGTCTCAAACAGCTGTGACTCCATTATCAGCACCTTGAAGTAGTGCGTCGGAATGGGCGTGGCTGTGGTGTCCAACTTCTTGCACTCCAGCCACCACATTTTGCCATTGCCCATGGGCATGTAGATGGGACCGGTGTAGGTGTAAACCGAACCGCATTCCCGCGTCTTTGCTGTCACATAGTGCTCCAGCTCGTGCCAGATGCGCCGCTTGAACACCTTGCCCATGGCCGCGGAGCCATCGTCATTGCCCAGTAGAAACACATCCTTGTAGCGTTGCAAGTCACTGCCATTGCCAGACTCCTCTGCCCCGTCTGTCCAGCGAAAATGCTCGATTATCCACTTGGCGCTGCTCATCTCTTTGCTCTGCGACATGATGCAATGTCTGTGCACCAGCAAACCCTCTGCGCTGGGCAGTCCGTACTTGATGAGATCCAGCATATTCGCCACCGAACTGGCATTCTCTTCGACTTCCAGTGGCTTCCCCAGTAGAGCGTTGTACAGCCGTGGGACCAGCTCCTGGCAGAGCTTGTCCTTCAGCCCGGGTGCGCGATTCCACAATCTGCCCTCGTGATCTGTGCTGAAGGTGGAGAACTGCGAGGGAGATTACCAGCAATCCCGACAATGGAGTAAGACAATGGGGTAAGGCCCTAACTTACAATGGAATAAAACCTGTGCCGATGAAGGTACACATAGGGATCCCGCTTTATTGCATCGAATAGATGCATCAGCGACACCTCGTGCTGGACAAAAGCGCCGCAGAACAGGCCCGACACACCAAACACGGCGCACATGGCAAAGCTTCGTTGTGGATCTGACATTGTGCGTATTTTGATTCGTGTAATTAATAATAATTTAGGTATATTTATGTATGTACGAGTGTGTTGCAATATTTCCCGTGTACGGGAAATTTTTCTAATGTACGATAAGGTGAGTTTTTGTTGTTTTGCTCTACAGTCAGGAATGTGGAATTGAATGTGAAGCAGAAAGCCTACTGTAACCTCAAAAAAGTCATTAGGTGCGGAGGGCAGGGAGCTGTTTCGAAGTGGCATTAAAAACCAACTCAATTCGCACGTATTTATGCCAACACAACACACACAAANGACTCCTCTGCCCCGTCTGTCCAGCGAAAATGCTCGATTATCCACTTGGCGCTGCTCATCTCTTTGCTCTGCGACATGATGCAATGTCTGTGCACCAGCAAACCCTCTGCGCTGGGCAGTCCGTACTTGATGAGATCCAGCATATTCGCCACCGAACTGGCATTCTCTTCGACTTCCAGTGGCTTCCCCAGTAGAGCGTTGTACAGCCGTGGGACCAGCTCCTGGCAGAGCTTGTCCTTCAGCCCGGGTGCGCGATTCCACAATCTGCCCTCGTGATCTGTGCTGAAGGTGGAGAACTGCGAGGGAGATTACCAGCAATCCCGACAATGGAGTAAGACAATGGGGTAAGGCCCTAACTTACAATGGAATAAAACCTGTGCCGATGAAGGTACACATAGGGATCCCGCTTTATTGCATCGAATAGATGCATCAGCGACACCTCGTGCTGGACAAAAGCGCCGCAGAACAGGCCCGACACACCAAACACGGCGCACATGGCAAAGCTTCGTTGTGGATCTGACATTGTGCGTATTTTGATTCGTGTAATTAATAATAATTTAGGTATATTTATGTATGTACGAGTGTGTTGCAATATTTCCCGTGTACGGGAAATTTTTCTAATGTACGATAAGGTGAGTTTTTGTTGTTTTGCTCTACAGTCAGGAATGTGGAATTGAATGTGAAGCAGAAAGCCTACTGTAACCTCAAAAAAGTCATTAGGTGCGGAGGGCAGGGAGCTGTTTCGAAGTGGCATTAAAAACCAACTCAATTCGCACGTATTTATGCCAACACAACACACACAAAGGGGCTTGTTCATCATTATTGAACCATCAAGAGGAGCACCAAGAGTCCTGCTGACGCCAGGTGAAACGCCAGTGTTCGGGCGTTGGCGTGCTTAAATTAGTTAGAGATTATGCCACAGCAGCGCCCCACGCAAATCTCCACTTTGGCACGCATCCAACAATGGGCGGCGGCTGCGGCGGCTTCCGGCCAAGGGCGTCGGGACGTTGGGGGCGGGGTGCGGGCATTTTTTTAAAATTTGTGCTTCGAAAATGCAAAACGAATTTGTCATTGGTGGCGGGGACCACAAGGGCTCCAATTGGGTATTTAATTCGCTGCTTAATGGCTGCTCCTGCCACTTCCCGCAGCCGGCTCGACTAAATGATTGATTGAAAGTACATACAGATTATCATAGACGCCGTACTTGCAGCACAAAAAGAGGTAAACACAGCTAGGCCACGTTTGAAAATTCGCTTTTTATTGTAAATTCATATTTTGCGCCTCAAAATTTGTGCGCAGCTCTGCCAACTTTCGGAAGAGCGGAAAGTCCCAGCTGGCTGTTAGCCCATTGTCGGCCCAGAGGGGTTTTAAATGCACATACGGGTATTATGAATGGTGAGAGGTGTTGTCTAATGTTGACTTAATTGGTATATAAAGAGAAAGGATACAATATATGTAGCTACAACGAGAAATTACAAACAGTATTATATTCCATTCCACCGTTTACCCAGGCTATCAACCAATTTAAATAGAGGGGGCTTTAATGGGTTATGAGCGTTTTTTTCCTCGGTATATTTACAGTATATATTTTAATATGTGAAGGTAAGTATATTTCGGTCGATAAAGCTGAGGTCACACTGGGCATCCGGCTATCGGAATACCAAAAATGTCGCCTGAAGGGAGAACATTTAATGTATAGAATGTGCTTTGCAGGATATTTTAACTAGAATAGCAAAGTCAAGGATTGAAATAAAATATTAAAATTTACGATATATTATGAAAATGCAATGGTATATTTTGGTATATTTACAAGATCCTGACGGTATATTGTATCGATAACTTCGCTGTCACACTGCTAAGGTCATACTGGGCTATCGAAATACAAAAAAAAGTAGCCTTCAGAAAAACGCCACCAAAAATTAATATAAAAAAGAAAAAACAAATGGATTGCGACAAACTGAGCGCTGTGCGCGTTGGCGTTCGCGAAGCACCATTTCGCTCCTTCCTTGGTCGCCAGGAGCCCAGCATTGTGCACTTCTCGCCGCAGGCCGGCAACGTAAGTGAACTTCCCTCTTTTTCCACTCCCACTGGACACAGCAATTGCAACTGTACTTGCAAGCCATATTGATGAAATGCAGTTATTAAAATCAACCGTTACCCTACTCATATTCCCAGTCCTTGGTGGTGGACCAAAATGATTACCACTTTGACTACGCCTTCCGCTCCACCGTCAGCCAGCTGGAGCTCTACGGTGCGCTCATCATGCCGCTGGTGGACAAGCTCTTTTGTGGCTTCGAGTGCACGGTCATGGCCTACGGGCAGACGGGCACCGGCAAGAGCTACTCCATGGGCATGACGGCCGACAATCAGGCCACCAGTGAGGAGCATCTGGGCGTGCTGCCGCGCTGCCTGCGCGACATTCTGGACCGTGTGGCCGCCAAGCAGGAGAACACCTTGGAGCGCATTCAGGTCTCCGCCTCCTTCATCGAGATATACAACGAGAAGGCCTACGATCTGCTGGGCGCCACTCCCATGGACCCAATGCTGGCCTCGCGCTGCAACAGTTGCACCTGCCTGCCGCTGGCCAGCCAGGAGGATCTGCAGCGCCTGCTGCAGCTCGGCAATAACAATCGCCACGTGCGGCGCACCAATATGAACGCGAACAGCTCCCGCTCCCACGCCATTGTCACCATCCATATGCGCCGACAGGGTGGCCAGCTATTCCGCATGAACATTGTCGATCTGGCCGGCTCCGAGGGTGTGCGGCGCACCGGCCACGAAGGCGTCGCACGCCAGGAGGGCGTCAGCATTAACATGGGCCTGTTGAGCATCAACAAGGTGGTAATGGCCATGGCGGCCGGCCACACAGTGATCCCCTACCGCGACAGCGTCCTCACCACGGTCCTGCAGAGTGAGTGATCCATTCCCCAATGGGCCGGCCATTCATTTTTTAAACTTTAATCTCTCATTTCGTAGAGTCGCTGACCTCGCAGTCATACCTCACCTTCCTCGCGTGCATCAGCCCGCATGCCTGCGACCTAAGCGAGACCATTTCCACGCTGCGCTTCGCCAAGAGCGCCAAGCGGCTGCGCCTCAATCCACAACAGATGATCATGTCGCGCAACCATCAGCTGCAGCAGCAGCAGCAGCAGCAGCAGCAGCGGGTAAGTCTGCCAGCCTAGATGTAGTCGTTGTCCACACAATCGAGGATTACCTCGCGCATGCGCAGCTTGTAGAGCTGCTCGTTGCCGGTGCCCAGGAAGCCGGCGCCCTGCAAGTTGGTGGTGCCACCCGCTTCGATCAGCTCGCTGATGGCCTGCAAATCAGGCACATCCTGGCCCCGCATCGTCACAATTGGCAGCACCATCATGGCCAGCAGCAGGCCCACGGCGGCCTTGGTGCGCACCTGCGCCGCAAAGGCCTCCCGCGGCAGCAGCTGCTCCACGCACTCTCCCAGCCTGAGAGGGCAAAACAAACACTCATGAGAGGAGCGTTAAGGGTTGAGGGTCACTCACCTGGTCAGCTGTTGCCCCAACTGCAGATGGTACTCGTCGAGCAGCTCCTGCAGGTGCTTCTGTCGAAAGGCGCGCGTGGTGCAGGTGAAGAGGAAGTAGGCCAGATCCGTCACAGGAGAGGCGTAGCGCATCAGCTGCCAGTCGATCAGGCGCAGATCGAGCTGACTCGAAAGTCTGTACATGATGTTGTTGTTCCAGCAGTCGCCGTGGCAGACCACGGCAAACGGTTCGCAATTGGAGCCGCTGATCAGGGGCAGCAGCAAGTCAAAGTAGGATCCCCGCGCAAAGTACGCCCTCAGCCGCAGGCCGTACGCATCGTCAGCGGGCGAGAGCAGCGCGCTGAGCGCACTCTCCTTGAGATTCTCAAAGTACGTGGCCAGCGCTATGTCGCCACGACGCTGCTCGAAGATGTCCACCAGCTGGCGGAAGGGTAACAGCTTCTCGGGCCACTGGCGCTTGGCCGCCAGGGAGACGGCATGCAGCTTGGCATAGGCGCGCATCACCATTGCTGCATGCTGCAGGGGCAGGTCACTGAAGCGGTCGTGCAGCTGGAAGCCGGAGCGGCACAGATCCTCCAGCACAATGCACTCGTTGGGCTCGTCCCGGCGTGTGTGGTAGCAGCGTGCGTGCTGCCGGAAGCGTTCCTCCTCGGGCACGCCCCAACGCTCCTGCAGCGCCGCCACGAGCGGCAGAAACTCCTCGTAGGCCTGCGACTCGCGCAGAAAGCACGGACGGGCGAAGAACTGCTTGCGCCGTACGCTGTTCTGCGGCGGCAGCTTCACCACCAGACTGCGGTCGGGTGGCACACGCAGGCGCCACACCACGCCCAAATAGTTGTCACCCTTGGCGCTGGCACGCTCCAGCTGCCGTCTGAGCTCTGTGCCCCCGAGAAGGCGCTGCTCCGGCCAGAGCTCACCGATCAGCTGCCGCAGGCACTGACTCACGCACTCATTGGGTAGTTCATCCTCCTGCTCCTGCTGCTGCTCCTGCTCCTGATCCTGCTCCTGCCCCGTCGTTATCTTCTTCTGCTGCGGCTCCATGTTTAACTGCGCCACAGGCGGCCGCACGAACGACTTTTATAGGATAAATCTCGGAGGAGAAACCACAGCGCTCCGACCACAAGCGATGCAACTGGCTCATGTTACACCTCGTTTTCTTTATTTTTTGTTTCACAGCAAACCCTTGCCGCCCGCACGCCTCACGCCCTCCGTCGCCCGTTTACCAGCTCGACGACCGTCAAGGTAAGCAGACCGACGCAACGCGATGCTCAGAACAGCTTCTACCTGATGCCGCCCAAGCCCAAGGAGAGCATGCCACTGATGCAGCTGCAGCGCACACGCTCCGAGATGGGTCTCACGCCCAAGGCCAAAAAGCGGTGGGTAACGGCGCCCAAACCCCCCATCAGGCCACTCTCTGACCAACTCTCTCTTTCTCTCTCTCTCTCTCTCTCTCTGTGTAGTGCTCGCGAGGAACTGCAGATGGAGACGACAATGGATGCGCCATCGGACAGCAATCACTCGGCAATCAGTCTCGTCGAGAAAGGCTGCTCGGCTGCTGTGTCCCTTTCTAACTCGGAGACAGAGTCAACATTGGTGGAGCCATTATCGGGCAGCAATGTCACGCTGAAGCAGGAGCAGGAGCAGGACTCCAATGGCACAATGGGTCCTCCACAACCTCCTCCGGCCATTCCTCTTTTCCATTCCTCTTTGCTGAGCATAGCAGAGGAGCCATACTCACAGCAGCAGAAGCTGCAGCAGCGGCAGTTGCTCTTCGACAATACCTGCAGTCCGATTGTCCTGCCAGCGGCTGGACCACTGGAAATGAGCGGCATCCAGCCGCTCGATATTAGTCAGAGGCCAGTGCTCAGAGCCAGACGCTCCGCCCGCCTTATTTTCAACTCCAACAGACAGCAGTCCTCCACGGAGCAGCAACAGCAGCAGCAGCAGAATCAAAACGGGCTGCGACGCAGCATGAGGCTGGCTGTTAAATTGGAGAGCCACGCCGTCACAGCCAACCAATTGTTGGCCTCTCAGGACTCGGGCAGCGTTGGTGCCAGTCGCAAACGCTCAAAGGCAGCCGCTAAACGCTGGATGAACAATCAAAAGGACACTTTCCTGAATCTACTCAACTCGGCAGATGTACGCGAACTGCAGAAGCTGCCCGGCATTGGCCCCAAGACCGCCTTCTCCCTGGCGCTGCAGCGGTAAGTGAAATAACGGAACATAAAAACGTTTTCAACCACTTATCTTGTCTTGTCTCTTTTCAGAGGTCGACTGGGTGGCTTTCAGAGCCTCAGCCAGGTCCAGGAACTACCCATTTGGGGGCTCGTGAAGTGGGAGCGCGTGTGTGGGGCCAACGGTTTGGATCCGTAGAAGAAAAGCTAAGCTAACCTAAGAATTCGCCATCTCTATGTGTAATAATCCTGTCGCTGCTGTGCGTTAAAATGTAAGGGTTTTTTTTTTGCCTTTTTTTTTTTTGCATACGGTAAGCGCAGAGAGAAAATAGTCCTCGGAGGGAACAGTTTACACTCACCCAATGAAAATTAATTATAATTTAAACTTAAACTTTTTTTTAACTCGGCTTACGATGTTAAGTGGCTCTGTAATATTTGATGTAAACTAGCATAAGATTTGCAACCCTTTGTACCACCGACCCTCCTCATAGGCATACAAACCGAAAACAAAATAAGATAATTGACCAAAAACAACGCACAAAATGAATCATTACTAATTATTTAAATTACCGAAATTGATAGTGGAGTCTATAATGCATACGTCATACTTTTGTGTAGGACTAGAACGAAAGAGATTGTCACACGGGCCCTACCCAGCGAGCTGGTGGTGACCTCATAGATAGCACATTTTGTGTGAGGCTCTTGGCAGTGCCTTCTTTCAACCTAAATCCAAAATAGATTATACAACTTAAATCAAATCATCAGAAAATGGGGCCTCCATCTGCGTGCGTGCGTGACTTCAGCAAGATCGCACGATCGCTTCCATCCCTAGTTTCTACCCAAAAGTTAGTCCTATCTCGCTTGCACTCTCACTCTCTGCAGCTTTTGGCTATGGTGTGTGTCTGTGTAAGTGAGTATGTGTTTGCGCAAGTTGTTTTGCCACCTTGCACGTTGCCAGAGGGAGGGCTGGGGTGACAGAAAGTGCATGTTAGAGATATGTATTGTACGGCCAGGCCAGGACAAACCTCTATCGGCTTGCCCTCTGCTCATTTTTCAACCCAAAGTCGAAGCCGCAGTCACCGTCGCAGCCGCAGCCGCTGACCGATATAGCGGCTCTTGTTTTTTCGGTAAACAAGATAAGGACAAGGAGGTGAGCCGAGCGAAGAGAAGAGTTCGGAGAGCAGAAAAGAATCTAAGTTGAATTTTCTGATTGGAAATCGCTTAAAGATAACGCCCGAACAACAGCGTCGGTGGGTGCGCGGGACAGGCGCTACAAGTGGAGTACAAAGTGTATCTATTGAGCCGCTGCCGCAGTCACAGTAACAGTCGCTGCGGCCGCCGCCGCCAACCAAAGAGGAAAGCAAAAGAAACCAGCAAAACAGAAACAAGAAAAAACGCTTCTTTGTGCGAGCAAAACAAACAAGACAAGATACAACGAAAGCAGGGAAGGCGACAATTAAATACCCTTCCAGTTTCAGAATAGAATATTACTGCCATTGCAGTTCATCGATCATTTATCTTTTGCTACCAGCATTTCCCTTACGGCGCAATAGGAGAGCAGGACAGTTTTGCAGTAAATTATGCTACAAGAAAATAATCATAATTCCCCAACGAGCCACACCCTCTTTTATTGCTAACCACAAGCCGGGGTCTCTTCGAGCCGGTTAGAGTGCACGCTTCGTACGCAACAACAAAATCTCAGCGCCGCATAAAATGCGCCGCAAAAACAAGCCAGGCAGCGTCAGAGGCAGAGACAGTAGCAGCGCCAGGGCACATAAATATAAGGTCAGGTGGGGCGTTTGAGCGATTCTGCTAAATACCATTAAGTGCTCGTGCGCTCACGCCTCCGTACCTTCTCTCTAATATACCTGACATTTATATGATCAAAACAAGATGTTAGAAAAAAAATGCAATAATCAAAGCAAACCACATGGTATATTGAATAGATGGGGTGAGACAGCCCCGTTGTTAGGACATTGCCTCTTCTCTGTTTTTTCTATCTGTGTGTATGCTAGTGCGTGTGTGGACGCTTAGAAGCAAAATGAATGGAAACCCGTCCTGAGGGCGCTCTGGGGCAAGTGCTCACCATTTTTACAAAATGTACCTTGTACCTTGGCAAAACAAGCAAGCGACGACCGGCTTTTTTTACATACACTGCACACACCAACAACCCCCCCGAAAGCACCAACACCCAGCCAACGCAACGCATCACACACACACACTTATTTCGGCATCTGCTGCCTGTGCGCAGCGGCAACTGGTTGGTTGTTGTTGCCGAACGGCGACGCGCTGCCCAAAGGCGACGCCAACGTCGTGCGTTTAAAATGTCGCAGCCGCAGCGGTTTTGAGCTCTGTCTAGAAGCAGCACTCCAGCGGAGCAGAGCAACTAAAACTAGTCAAAGTCTATGCATTAAACTATTTGATTTCAATTCAAATTCAGTTTCGGTTCGAATGCGGATTTTGTTTTGATTGGAAATTGGAAACAGCCGATGTGGATTAACCGTTAACCCGTGCTCCGAAAGCCCGTTAAAGAACCGCAAAAACAAAAAAGGAGCTGAAAGAGAAACAAAAGGCAAACGCAGAGTAGACGGAACTAACACACACGATCCAGCAAAAATGGCGCAACCATTGAAATTCTACTTTGATTTCCTGAACCAATCCAGTCGGGCACTCTACATATTCCTGGAGGCCTCCAAGATACCGTTCGAGGCGATACCCATATCGATGCTCAAAGGTGAGTACGTGCCCAGCAGCACACACAGTCACACACATAGGGCCCAAAGGTCGACCCACACACACACACACACACACACACACACACACACAGTCACGCACATTTCTATGCACTTATGTTGCTGTCCCTTTCGTTGATTCGGGGGAATTTTCAACAAATTTTCCGCTCGTTAAAAATTCCACTGGTCAAGTCAGCCACTCAAAGGTTTTTGAAGGGGAAAGCGAAAGCCCATTTGCAATGCCACAGAGATTGAGTAATATTCAAACCCAAACGCAAGCCCAAACAAAGGGACAAATCTTCCCCCAACCCCACCACTGCAATCCGTGCTCTTAACAGCAACAAAATGAATAATAAATCGAGAATTTAATTCAATTAGTCACAGGAATTTGCACCTACATAAGTACATTTACTAGATGCATATATTGATCGTTATTTTGTGTCGCCCGATAAGTGTGTACGTGAGGATATGAACTAACTGGCCATTAGAACCGAGACTAGAACGTGTTTTCTTTGTGGAAGCGATTAGGCGAGCCACAATCCATCTCTCAAAGGAAAATTCACGGCAATCTAATGACCACTTAATGGCCCATGCCCACCATCTGTGTTAGATCTCTCACCTGCTTGCAAAAACTTTTCTCCGATAAATTTAACGTTTGTTTTTTTTTTTTTTTGGCTTGCACTCTGCGCGCGCGTGGCTCTGCTTAGCACTTTTTTTGGGCCACAACAAAAGCGGTTTGTGGCTTGAGGGCAGGCAGGCAGCAGCACCTACTGCACATCTCTTTGTGTTATGTTGTGTTGTGTTGTCTGTGGACTTGGTCAAGGTTACAGCAACTACATACGAAACTCTTGCGTTCGACGAACGCTGCTTTAACACGCTTAACGAGACCACGCCCCCCACCTATACCGCCATAAACTATAGAATTAATGCGAGGAGGATGCAGTCAGAGGCTCAGTCAAGCCATTAACAAGTTGTATACTATATTTTATACATATCACATCACCACATCGTGTACGAGTATTTGTATATGTGTGTGTACATATATAATTACGATCTCTTGTCAAGTTGGCTATTTCCCCCTGCATGCACTCGACGCACACCTTCCTTGAAGCCTTCAAGCTATATCCGTGTCTGAGATCCAAGATCTGAGCACCAACATCCAACTCTCTGGCTCTTCTCTGTATGCTAATCGCCTGCCTGCCTGCCTGCCTTCATTCGATCATCGGAGCTTTTATTTTGCTCAGAGACAGCAACTGAAGCAGCGACGGCGACTGCAGCAGAGAGACACTGTGACAGCGACTGCAGCAGAGGCTCAAGCCTAGACGAGTGCTGGCTGAGACCAGTTGGACTTTGCCCTCCCTCCAGTTCCAGTAGAGCAGCCGCAACTCGACTTGGAGCGTGCAGCGCAGCCGTAGACCGCTGCGGCAAAAGCTTAGAAAAATCAGAGTCAATGCAACCGACAACCTTGTGGAGGTTAAAGACTCCGATCCAAAGCCTATACGATACGATCCGTGAAGGTAAACATTTGTTTTTACTTGGGGTGGCTACAACGGCAATATTCCATATCTGCGTATCATCGTATGAACACTCGATCTATGTATGCCCCCCACGCCAAAAGGAATTCAAAGCGGAATCTAATCTTTGGAAATGCAGTTGCTAGTTAAGTTTTAAGAGACATACATCTACAGATGTGTAGGACACTGTTAAGTGATATTTCTCAAGTATTTCTTTGACTTGCATAGAGTGACAAGGGTCAACGGCTAACCCGTTTACACGCCACAAAATGAAACCCGTCAATCGATCAATCATGCACCGCTCACGGGATTTGCTATACCGACCATATACATACATACAGTTGTTTTCTCTTTTAATCAAACACACAATCCCATTCAGATAGGGGCCATAATTTGTGCTTTCATTTGCCAAATGGCAGCCAATTATAGAATTGAAAAATTGCCGCGCTGCTGTTTCAAATCTAATCATTAAAAATGATGTCGCAGAATCACAAACTGTTTAGTTAGTTAGTTGTTGCCCCAACCCAGTCCCAGTCATAGTCCCGGTCCCGGTCCCGGTCCCTTGTCCAGACTGTCGTCTGACTAATCAATTAATTTTCATGAAATTTTCACTTAATTTCATTTGTTTTTGCACACCTCCCCATGCCCCAATCACGATGGGAGTCATGCACATGCGCCAATCCGCCAGCTTACTCAATTTGTTTATATAGATTTCGATTTCGATTACGCTGCGGCTGTTTAATTATAGACTTCCCTACTACCATCATCGTAATTATTATCTCCCTACCGCTCCGCTCCGCTCCGTTCCGTTGCATTTCGAGTGGGAGGCGAGGCCCTACAAATGCCACGAGCTGTTCATGCCCTTCTTTACATTTATCAAGTGCCGATATGTTCTCATAACCTTGAGGGCAGGCAGCCACCACACATATTGACATTGACAATGACTTTGGACACACCCTCTTTTTGCGAGCAATCTTCGATTTCTTATCTTCGGCTTGGGACTGTACTCCTTCCGTATCGGATGATGTGTTGCTGTGTGGCACTTTTTCGGGAATCACCTGTTGCCCTGTGAATCAGGCGATGGCACTTATCGCTGCTCTCGTTTTTTGTTCGGGTTATTCGCAGGCGAACACTTGACGGGTGAATTTCGGGACAAGGTGAACCGATTCCGTAAGCTGCCAGCGATCACCGACCATGGCTACCAGCTGTCGGAGAATGTGGCCATCTTTCGGCATTTGGCGCGGGAGAAGCTCGTGCCGGAGCACTGGTATCCGCGGAGACAGCTCGGACGCAGCCGCATCGACGAGTACTTGGCCTGGCAGCAAACGAACATGGATGTGGCCTGCACGGACTACTTCCAGCAGAAGTGGCTGGTGCCGTATCTGCAGAAGACGCGTCCAATGGAGAATGCGGTAAGTACTCCTGCCACTCCTCCTGCTATCCCAAACCAATCCATTGCAACCAATCCCTCTCTCCACAGGTGAATGTCGCTGGCAAGCAGCTGGAGCACACGCTCAATGATTTCGAGCAGCTCTTCCTCAACTCGCGCAAATTCATGATGGGTGACAACATCTCGTTTGCCGATCTCAGTGCCATCTGTGAGATCGATCAGCCCAGTGAGTAGCGTACCCTAAGAGCGTTAAGGGCATCCCAATCTTATGCCCGCAATTTGTATCCATCCACAGAGTCTATTGGCTTCAATGCCTTCCAGAATCGCAACAAGTTGGCGCGCTGGTACGAGGCTGTGCGCGACGAGCTGGGGCCCTACTACAAGGACGTTCACGGGGAGTTCGAGGCCAAGCTGAAGCAGAGCGGCAGTAGCAATCAGGGCGTGGCCCAGGCCCTGAAGCAGTAAAGAGAGCCAGCCGCCCCAGGATCCAAAACCACCACAAAACTTGATTAGTTTTAACGATTATTAATTATTAATTCTCTTTTTTTTTCTTATCTTCTGATCGATCACTCCCTTGCCTATCCCTCTTCCTGCATATATCTATGATCTACTATATAGTTTTTAGTTGTTAAATATCTTAATTATCCATACATAAAGTACGCTTACAATTGTTTAACCAAAACAACAGATGACTGTGGGATTTCCTCTTCCAGCTGGCTTCCTTTTCAAGCCTTGCCTAGCTGTACTGTAGCGAGTATCGCTGACGTTCCCCTGCTATAACATTATCAACAAGTTGCATTTACATTTAGGTCTCATACGAGTATTTATATTTCGATTAACATAGTTATGGGTCGGTATTGGGGTGGGGCTGGTTGTCTGTCGCCCTCGTTGGACGAGCGAGTGCTGGCGCTGGCGCTGGCGCTGGTGCAGGTGCTGCTAAGGCTGGACGAGGGATCTAGATCGTTATATGATATATCATGAATTGGCGCTGTGTGCGGCATGCGTGCGGCGTTCGTGTACAAAATATATATAGGAGCTGGATCAGGGATCGGTTCTGGCCTGCTTATATCACAATGAGATTTGTATACACAGAGATTTTCCTGTTTTGTTTTTGTTTTTGTGTAAAGGAATGCTGTTGCAGAGGCGCGTGCCTGTGTGTGTGTGTGGGGGCTCCCAGCCAGCCCATTCACTTCATGGTGGAATCGGGAAAGGCGTCGCGTGGCGGCTTGAAGCTGAGCATCATAATGTGGCGAGCGTAGGACTTGGTGGCACGGAACAGCGAGTCAGTGCCATGCAGGCGATCGAGCACTCCCAGCACGCCAAAGCAGTTGCTGAATCTTAAAGAAAAAGAAATCAATAATTTGTCCAAAATGGAGTAGAAAACTCACTTGAGATGGTGAAAGTCGTGAGCCTCTGGGCTGGGGAAGAAGGGCAAGTGGTAGCCAGAATGGGCATTGAGGGTGGACAGAATGGCGAGGGCGAACCACAGCCAGGCGGTGGCCACATGGCTGCCCATAAGAAATACACCCAAAAAGGGTGGCAACAGGTTGCTGAAAATATGCTCGATGGGATGGCAATAGATGGCCGTCACCGATATGGGGGCCGTCCACTCATGATGCTGCTTGTGGATATACTTGTAGATGAACTTGTGGTGCAGCAGGCGGTGCGAGTAGTAGAATCCCAGCTCCTCCATCAGTATGCAGACGGTCAGCTCGAAGCATACCCAGTGGAACGTAGGCAGGTCCCGTATGTCGCTCAGGCCACGGATCTCCATCAGCCGATAGCTGCCATAGGCCAGTGGTATGCCCACAAATATTTGATTAAAAATCACACACCAAATGACCTAACCAACAGAGAATAGAAAGAGACAGAGAGAACATCAAATTCAAATTCAATTTCAAATTCAAAATTGATTGTTAATTGTGTGTGGAGAGACCTTTAGCAGGCGACGCGTCTCGACGGGCTCATTGGTGCCCGGCTGGATCTTGTATTTGCGCAGACAGGCCGGCCGGTTCGTGAGGTCCATGAATGTGTAGATTGTGCCAACGGTCCAGTAAACGATCATCGTGAATATAGTGGTGCCAAAGACCCAGAGTACCATGGGCTCATCGCCTAAAAAGTAGGTAAAAATGCAACCAATAAAACGACTCCTTCAAAAAGCAGCGAATGAGACAGAGACAGAGACAGAGAGAGCGTGAGCGTGAGCGAGCAAGCGCACTTTATGCAATTCTGATTAGCTAAAAGTTCAAACTGATAATGAGGGGGAGGTTAAAATCATTTAGTTACCTACTATTTGTGTTTGAACTAAGAATTAGAAGACTAAGTGCATTTTGACAGCCTACATATAACTCACTAATTGTTTGCTTTAGGGTGGGGTGTAAAGGTTCGTTCTCGTGGAGTACCTATTCAGATAAGCAAATAATATGCGAGAAAAACATTGCGCAGTTTTCATGCACGCAATTTCCTTTTCGTCAAATTTTATACGAATGAAATGTGTGCAAATTTCAATTTGTATCATAGGGCGGGTGACCTAAACAATTCATTTTTGCGTAATTGGCAGCACTTGTCCACTGAACGCTTACTCTCATTCTCTCTGTCTCATTCTCTTTCTGGGTGTGAAATGCAAGCAGTGCATATGTGTGTGTTTGTGTACGTGTGTTTGCAAGCGAATTAGTAAACAAAACAATGAACTGCTTGCACAATCTCTCTCTCTCTCCCTCTCTCTCTCTCGCTCTGTTACTCAAGCGAGCACAAAGAGAGTGAACCACAGAGAGGGTGTGTACAAAGTACGGTTTCTTTTTGCGATCACACTTACCAAACGAATCGATGAACTTGTCCCACTGCGATTGCCAAAAGTCACCGGAGGCGCCCCAAAAGCTCTGCAAATGCCTGGCGTACAAATAAGAAACTTCAACAAATTTCTCCTCCATGATTGGGGCAAACAACAAGAGCAAAAGATCTCCTTTTGCTTAATATTTGTTTGTTTGATCTGATTTCTCTTTCTCTCTCCAGGAGTGTGTGTGTGTGTGTGTGTGTGCGTCGGGGCCCCCAATTGGGTTTTGGTTCTGGTCTTCGTGGGGCAACGTCGCAAACGCAACTGAATATTGGAATGGGAACGGGAATGGCAATGGCAATGACAATGGAATGGGGGGATCGTGGCCAGAATGTGCGGAAGCGCAGCTCAAAGCTCTCACTCTCAGTTGGATTCATTCTCACTGAGATAGAGGGAGAGTGAGTGACACACACACACGCACACTCAAACACACGAAAATGCTCAGAGAGAGAGCGGCGTCAAAACAAGAACAGCTGATTACGATCTACCGAGAGAGAGAGAGAAAGAGAGAGCAATTGCAGAGACAGCAACAATAACAACTGACCAGGTGAGAACGTTGCGAAAGAGTATAAACACGGCCAGGGCGCACGTAATGATAAAGATGACGCTGTGCAGTGACGAGAGCCAGACATCGGCGGTGCGGTGCTCATCCCAGGTGCTGGAGCCGGAACCGGTACCAGAGGATGAGTGCATCTGCTCCAGCTTGCTGGCATGCTAGTGGAGAGCCGTCGGGAAAGAGGAAGAGAGAGAGGGGGGGAAACTGTTAGGGGGCAGGACGTGGGATGTGCGGTGGCTTACATCATTCAGGGTTAGGTAAACGGGAGGTAGACCAACTTTATCCTTGTCTTTCGCAGCTCCATATGATCCCCCAGCGGATGAGGCGCCGGTTGTGCCTGCCGGCGGCACTGTCAGTGACACGGGCGATGAGGACGTCGAGGACGACGACGAGGATGAGTGGGATGTGGCTTGGGCGGAGGCATTGTTGGGCGGCCTTCCATGAGCCGGATGGGACATTCTGCTGCCGCTGCTTAATCTTTCAAATTTATTTACTTATTTGTTGCTCTTCTTCGGTTCGTTTCGTTTCCTTTTCTTCTCGTTCGTTCCGTTTGTTATGACCCCTGATGTTTATTTGTTGCCCTTGACATTTAAAGGATTTCGATTTTTCGATTTCACTGGAATTTCTCACATCAATGTATGTGTGCGTGTGTGTTTGTGTGTGCGTTTATTCCTGTGCGTGCGTTCTCTAGGGTTGCCGCATTAAACAAACGGAGAGCATTGCATTTCCTGTGAACTCTGCAGCAAAATACGCATTCAGTCCCGTCTAGTGCAATTGCCGCGAAAAATCGTTTCGTTTGAATTTATCGCTTCGACCGAAAGCTCACACCCACACACAGATACTCACATAGACACACTTACGCGTTCAGCTGCTTGCAATGGGACCGAATACTAGCGAAAAATACCGTTCCATTCCCACTCTCGCTACATTTCGTAAAAAATCCATTAAAAGGAAGATCTAGATAATATTGTGGACAATTGATTCATCAATCGGCTAAAATTATAAGTTCAGGGCTGAGAGCGCCAACAAGCTGGTAATATAAAATGGACTATCACAATTGAGGAATATGATTTCCCTCGGTATATTTGCAGTATATTTTGTTCATCTCGAGGTATATTTCGGTATATTGCCTTAGTTTATCGATAAGTCGATAATGGTGACACGACGACAGGCAGGCGAAAGTGAGCAACAGATAGAAATCTGATAAGAATTATCCCAGCCAGGCCGGATTTGTTTTCATCTGCCATCTGACCGACCACAGACCTGACCATGAGCAACGCCATCGATGAACTGCAGGCCATCATTGCCGAGCTAAAGACAGAGGTGGAGGAGCAGCGGGCCGTCATCCGTCAGAGCCGCGATCGCATCGAACACATGTCCGCGGAGGTGGTGGACTCCAATCCCTACAGCCGCCTGATGGCCCTGCAGCGCATGAACATTGTGAAGAACTACGAGCGCATACGCGACAAAACAGTGGCCATTGTGGGCGTGGGCGGTGTGGGCAGCGTCACAGCTGACATGCTGACGCGGTAAGCAAGTTGAAATCGGAATATGGACTATGTTTGACATTCTCTTTGTCTTTTGATTTCTCCATTTAGTTGCGGCATTGGCAAGCTAATCCTGTTCGACTACGACAAGGTGGAGCTGGCCAACATGAATCGTTTGTTCTTTACGCCCGACCAGGCAGGCCTCTCCAAAGTGGAGGCTGCCGCCCGTACCCTGACCTTCATCAATCCGGATGTGCGCATCGAGACGCACAACTACAACATTACGACCATTGAGAACTTTGACCATTTCCTCAACACAATCACCGGCGGCGGCACTGTGGCCGGCCAGCCCGTCGATCTGGTCCTCAGTTGTGTGGACAACTTTGAGGCACGAATGACCATCAATGCGGCATGCAACGAGAAGTGCCTCAATTGGTTCGAGTCGGGCGTCTCGGAGAACGCCGTCTCCGGGCACATACAGTTTCTACGGCCCGGCGATACGGCCTGTTTCGCCTGCGCCCCACCTCTGGTGGTGGCCGAGAACATTGACGAGAAGACACTGAAGCGGGAGGGTGTCTGTGCCGCCTCCCTGCCCACCACCATGGGCATCACAGCGGGCTTCCTCGTGCAGAATGCTCTCAAGTATTTGCTGAACTTCGGCGAAGTCTCCGACTATCTCGGCTACAATGCTTTGAACGATTTCTTTCCGAAGATGACGCTCAAACCGAATCCCCAGTGCGACGACAGGCATTGTCTGCTGCGACAGCAGGAGTTCCAGGCTAGGCCCAAGCCCGTGGTGATCAAGGAAGAGCCATCCGCCGACGATGAACCGCTGCACGCCAGCAACGATTGGGGCATTGAATTGGTGGCTGAAGACGCTCCCACTGAGCCGGAGCAGACCACCAGCACCGCTGGGGGCCAGGGTCTGCGTCTGGCCTATGAGGCACCGGAAAAAACTAGCTCGGTGGCGACACCAGCGCCCGTGGATGACACCTCGCTGGAAGACTTAATGGCGCAAATGAAGTCGATGTAAACAAACAAACAATTCCGCTCTCCATACTCTCTTAATTTATATAGAAAGCAAATTTTACACAATTATTTTTGTACGAAATTCCACGCTTTTTTTTTGTATTTGTATTTGAATGTTGAAAATAGATGAAAAATTTATGTAAATGGTCATTAGTTTATAAAGAAATGTTTTTAAACCATCGTAAATGTTTAAAATGGGTTTGTTCGTTGGATTTCGTATCCCTCTCTACGTAGCACACCTTGCTTCACCGAATAAGCAGTTTGGTATATCTTCGGTATATTTTTTAGTATTCAGGCAGTATATTAAGTCGGTCACACTGTTTGTTTGTCGCGTTGTCAAAAGAAAGAAGAAAAAAAAAGAACAAAACGCTTGGGAAAAGCTCTGTTTTGTCGCTAATTTCGATTAAATTTGTACGTTTCCGCAAAGCGCTAACCACACATCAGAATCGCCTGCAATGACCAAAAAGGAGGACAAGACCCAGCCCGGCGAGGAGGTAAATAATGACACAAAACGAGCGTAAGAGCCGACTGCCGGCTTGGCTAGCCGCTGGCCAAACGAATTTTTGTGTTTTTGTACACGTCATGTTTTGGTGTTGTCTTAAGATTAAATATGACTCGAACTCCTGTTTGCAGCTGGTGAAGGTGAACAAGTGGGATGGCTCCGCCGTGAAGCATGCACTGGATGATGCCGTCAAGACCTGCCTGCTGGGCGATCGTCCCCATTTGAAGGAGCAATTCGGGTTGGTCAACACTCGCCTGGCACTGTGCGCTTTGGCCGTTGGCGTGGCCATTATGGCCCATGCCTGGGACTACACCCACCCGTTCCCCCAATCCCGTCCCGTACTGATGTTCAGCGTTCTGGCCTACTTTGCCCTCATGGGCGTACTGACGCTTCACACGAGCTTCCGCGAGAAGGGCACCTTTGCGGTGGCCGTTCACAAGGAAAAGGAGCGCACCTGGGAGGCAAGCTCCGACATGAAGAAGTACGATGACAAGTATCTGCTCACGCTGAGCGTGCGCGACGCCAAGGGTGTGCAGCGTGAGCTGCACAGCGCCAAATCCTGTGCGGCCTACATCGACACCAATGGCATCATATTGGACAATCTGGTGGCCAATGAAGTCAATCGCCTGTACAACTCACTGTCCGCGGAAAAGAAGGACAAATAGCAAGAGTCGGTATAACAAAACACCAGCAAAAGTTCACCCGGAGCGTATCCTTTCCCTATCATCATGCAACAGCCAACAACCATCGAGGACTTGGCAATGTGCGCCTCAATTTTGTGTTGGAAGTTGTTTTTTTCGAGTGTTTTTTTTTTGTCACTTCTTGTGTTTTGCTGCTGTGTAACTTCGGTTTCCCCTTCTCTCATTAAATTGTAACTTAAAATTGTTTGTGCGTGTAGTTTTTTGTGTGTGTGTGTGTGTGTGTGTGTGTGTTTGTGGGGCCTGGCGCAAGGTGAATAGGCTAACAAGGTGACATGGTCCGCTGTGGGGAGGATCATTAATGAAGAGAACTTTTGTGTATAGTTTGCCTTGGGAAATGTGTCAAATCAGCAGACGAAACTAACTTTAGGCACAGCACAGGACACATGCGGCAGTAGTTTGTTTCCTATTTTTCTTTTCTTTCAAACCAAATTCAAAATTTCAAGCTAGTGGTGTGTTGCGGTATGAGGGAGATTGTTACGCTGCAGATTGGCGGCGCCGGCAATGCCATTGGCGATGCGGTGAGTACAGTCGGAAGTTAGTCTCCCCCATGTCTGATGTCCCCTGCTATCCCTTTGTGGTTCAGTTCTGGCACGTTATTTCCCATGAGCATGGTGTGGACTACAATTCGGGACGTTTCGTCGGCACCAGCCCGCTGCAGCTGGAGCGCTTGAATGTCTTCTTCAATGCGACGGTGAGCAGACGCTTCTATGTGCGCAGCATTGTCATTGACACGGAGGCGAGCACCATACAGCGGCTGCACACCAGCAGCCAGCTGTACAGGCCGGAGAACTTTGTTGCTGGAACGGAGAGTGCGGGCAATAATTTTGCACGCGGCTATCACACAGATGGCGCAGAAATCCTACAGCAAGTGTTGGAAAATACGCGACGAGAGGTGGAGGCTGTGGACTCGCTGCAAGGCTTTCAGCTGCTGCACTCAATTGGCGGCGGCACCGGCTCCGGTCTCACCTCGCTAATCATGGAGTCGCTCGTCGAGCAGTATTCAGACAATTTGCTATGCAACTATGTGACCATACCCTCACCGAACATGTCCCAGGTGGTGGTGGAGCCATACAATGCGCTGCTCAGCACACCGGCCCTGGTCAATAACTCCCATTTGACATTCTGCCTGGACAACGAGGCGCTATTTCATATTTGCAATCGTAATTTGAAAATCAAAATGTGCGGCTATGAGCACATCAATCACATTGTGGCCCTCACCATGTCGGGCATTACCACATGCCTGCGCTTTCCCGGCCAGCTGAATGCTGGTCTGAGGAAGATCTACGTGAATATGGTGCCATTTCCGCGTTTACATTTCCTGATACCGGGCTTCGCGCCGCTGGTTACCTGCACGCAGCAACAGTTTAGCAAGGGCACCGTCTCGGAGCTGGTCCAGCAGATCTTCTCCAGCAATAATCTGCTGTGCGCCATCGACTTGCGTCAGGGCAAGCTGTTGACAGCCGCCGGCATCTTCCGTGGACGGATGTCGCCCCGCGAAGTCGACCAAATGATGACGGGTGTGCGGAACAAGAATCTGAATAACTTTGTCGACTGGATACCGAACAATATTAAGACGGCGATCTGTGACATACCGCCGCGTGGCCTCAAGATGTCTGCCACGTTTATTGGCAACACAACGGCCATACAGACGCTCTTTCAGCGTTTGCTGGACGGGTCGTCGGTGATGTTGCGCCGCAAGGCCCATCTCCACTGGTACACGGGCGAGGGCATGGAGGAGCAGGAGTTCATCGATGCCCAGCAGGAGCTGCAGGCCATTATCGATGATTATCGCAGCAGTGCGGAAATGGATGGTGACGGTGGCGGTGGCGGTGGCGGTGGCAACGGAAATGGCAGTCATGATGGCAGTGCACGACCCTCTGGTGCTGCTGCCGGCGGTACTAAGTGTCCCCACTGTGGCGAATAATGCGGAACCCAACTACACCCTCAGCCTACTCCCTTTCGAAAAGAACAAATTTCAAATGCAATAACTATGTCATAATTATGTAATAATTAATTATAGATAATTGTCCTAGCATTTTCTCATATCCCTTTACTTATTATTTTAGCCGTTTTCGATCACTGCTAAGTGCAACTGTATGTGTGTGTGTGTGTGCATCTGAGTAATTGTCGAAGTATTACCGCAACGCGATCTTACTTTACGGTTCTGCTCAGAAAACAACAAAGACAACAGAAACTCCGTTATAGGTAAAACACCTCCCACGCCATCTTGGGCTATTTCTATACATGGACAAGTGTACTTTGCATATTTCCCGTGATCTTTCTTACACTGCTCTCCCTACGGTAGATGAAGCCGTGATTATATCTTCGTATTTATGTTAGGCACTCGCATGGTCACATTGCATGCACACACACACATACAATAGATGCAATCCTGATCATTCCCAGAGTTTTAGGTTCGGTATTCAAATATGCAATTAGTTGCCAAAATCTTTCGGAATCTCTCTGCCGATCTATTTTCAGTTTGGACAAACATTTTGCGTAGGTCAAAAGCCGGATCTGCCAAACTTGAAATGCCGCCAAGAGGGAGTTTTGGTATTGCTCTACCAACCAACAACAGCAACAAAAAAAGAGCGCTCCTACACTATACGGTAGAATTTGCGTGCGTGCGTGTGCCTGTGGCTAGAGCCAGCGAAGAGAGAGAAAGGCGGGAGATGTGCAGCAAGCAGCATTCTATGCAGCATTATTAATAGATTGATGCTAAAGGTTTTTGCACTTGGTTTATTTCTGGTGCTCGGCATTCCTGAGATGCCGTCGTGGTGACAAAAATATATTAAATCCACACACACACACACGTCCCAATGCAGAGAAGCGACGGCGGCGGCGCCCATCCCGGCCCCAAAGGCGGACAAAATGCTCATGAAAAATGTGCAGCGGCGGTCTGCAAGTGGAGCACACACACACACACATGCACGCATACAACCGTTATGCTGGGTGGCAACGCACACCTACACACGCACCAACCCAGCAAGAGGGATAGAGAAAGAGAGAGCACGGCCTGAAATCATAAATATAAATTAAGAATTCAATAGAACAGCAAGGAGAGACGACAACTATTTGTGGGCTGCTAACAGCTCCCTGCCACCCGCCCGTGGCCACTTGGCATAGCCAAAAATGAGTTGACCAGGCTCCGCCTAACTGCATTCCATGGATCTAGAAACCCCCCCCCCCCCACACAACAAAAATATGACACTTCATATTTTGAATTGCGGCACATTTGGCGCCAACGATAGTATCGATGAGGGAAAAAAGGCTGTCTACCATCGATGGTGTGCCCAAGCACGGCTTAAAATTGCCGCTTACCAGCACTTAAGTCACTATACAATTTAAATTTTGAGCAGAAAGTAGAAAACATGGGACAAGGAGACATTTATCGTAAATAACTACGTTTTATGCTGCCCTTGGGAAAATATATATAGCACAAAGACTTTAACTCTAGCATAATTTTTTGAATATATTCCGGATAAAGGTAGTTAGAACGTGATTTCAAATTTTTGTTTTGTTTTGGTATATTTCTGTGGGATTTCTGTGCTCATATTTGAGACGCAAAAATGAGGAGAGAAAGAGAGGAACTGCAGACCAATCCTCTCTCTTGCTGACCTAATCATCTCTTTGGATATTAATCAAATCAAAGAAATCGGTGATTAGTTAGACGATAATGATGTTTTTTTCATCATTCATCATTATCCGGTGATCCTTAGCAAAATAATGGCTTAGGAAATAGCTCCCTTGCTTCCAGAAGGGGTGATTTGAATGAAAAATTCAAATACAAATTTATAAATATAAAGTCATAAGGGTATACAATCCAATGAAAAGAGTATTTATAATAGGCCAAATTGATTCTTCAATCGAATTAAATAATTGTTTCAGTGTTAAAAGTCTTTGAAAGCTGGGAAAATCAAATAGAACATCAAAATCGAGGAATATGAGTTAAGGCTACGGTATATTTACGGTATATTTTTTGAATGAGTAGGTATATATTGATATACTTTCAAGGGTCTGGCGGTATAATTTATTGATGATTCCGCGGTCATATGGTCTCACACATTTTTTTGCCGCGGACTCGTAAACACCACCACCTAGTCGAATTTTTTTCTGAATTCAGAAATTTCCGTTGATACTTCCCACAAAAATACAACATCAACATTCTGCACGGTTCGTCGTTTTTGCTGTTGGTGTTTTTTTGATTGAAACTGTGCGCGATTGATGAAACCAATATTCAAAATGTTAATAAATAAGAGAGTCAAATAGAATCCTAGAGCAATATTGAGAGCGGCGGGATAAAAGCAACGGTTAACAATTCCCTTTAATTTCGAACGAGTCGGACGCTGGGGTCGGACGCATACAACATTTTTCCGTTTACGGTTCGTGCGCGCTGCGAGTTTTTTTTGTACCTACCTAACCATACAACCAAAGCAACCCAAACCACCACCAACACCACCACCACGAACAGTGTGTGCCGTGCGTACCACAAAGTTTAAGATATTAACCTTTGCTTTGCAGCATTTGCGTCCTAGCAATTGTCGTGTTTTTGTTTTGGCGCTAATCGAAATATATGAAAATACAAAATAAAGGAGAAGAAAAGAAGTTGGTGCCTGCAGAACGGTACAATATACCCATGCATACACACACAACCGCACACACGTTGAGTGAGAGAGAGTGGAGTGGAGTGGAGTAGAGTAGAGTAGAGCCGCGGGAATTTTTTTTTGGCTGCTGTGCCTGGCTATATATGTATGCGCTTGTGTGCCTATGTGTGTGTGTGTGTTGCAGTTGCACTGGAATTTCTGTAGTGTGACCACACTTTAGAGTTGTGTATGTGTGTGCGAGAGAGTGAGAGCAGAGCGCGCGCCCTCAACGTTTTTCAATTTGCCGTGTGTTTACCGTGTTCTCATCTTCCGCTTCTCACTGTTTTCTTTCCTTTTTGTTCTTGTGCTAAAAAAACAGTTTAAATAATACAAAACGTGCGGCTCCCCGTCTCGTCATCCCCCTCCGGCCAACCCACCAACATCAAGAAATTAGTCAAACATAAAACAGAAATAATAAAAAAAACAGAGTCCTAAAAAAGAAACCAAAAACGAAATACGAGAGAAGATCTGATCTTCCCCCATACAAAAATATCCCGCACACACAGATCAGATCCACAGATCATGTTCACCGAAAAGGGAATCTTTCCCATAGGCGATGGCCTTTTGGATGTGGATGCCGAACGCTTGAAAGGATTGCTCGTGTCGTGTCGTGACATCAACGAGATCTACGAGGTGGAACAGACGCCGTTTGCCAGGTGAGTGGTATCCTTCCCAGACTAGTGTCCCCTCCACAAGAGGGATATCTTCTATCCACTTCCCCCCATCTCGCACTCCTTGTCTCTCCTGTTTCTTTTTTTTTTTTGGCACAAAACAAGTTTCACGTTTTCTCAAGCAGCTGCTCTCCAAAACATACAAAAACATACCAAATACTACAAAAGCGAAAACAGAAACAAAGCTCAAAATGTTGAAGAAAGTCTGAGACTGAGACCGGAGTCGGGAGTCAGTTTTTGTTGTTGTTGTTTTTCTTCTCTTTTTTCTGAAAACTGAAAACTTCTGCGTCTCAAAACTTGTTTATTTCGTTTTGCTTCTTCCTCTTGCTCAAGTCTTCGGCGCTCTGTGTTTGTGTGTGTGTGAGCTGTAGAAGCTCTCATACACGATCAGGCAAAGCGCACATGCAAGGCTGTCAAACAGAGACCGAAAGAGAGTTGTGTGTGTGTGGATAACGGCACAGTGTGCCTCGAGAGTGACTTCCAGGGCTTGAACCCAAAAGGCTTCAACTGCCACAGAAATCCCAAAAGTACTTTTAAACCTCTTACAAAAAAAAAAAACTTCTACGCGTTCGGGGAATTATTTCTCTGTGCGGAAAATTTTGGAATAATCTCTATTGCATTTCTAGTTACCTCAATCTAAACTATTTTCTGAGATAAACCTGGGTTCCCAGCTTAGTGAAGAAGCACGTCAGATAAAGCTGAAAGATAAATAAATAAAGAAAAAAGTGATTAAATATTTCTCTAGAATCTCTGTAGCTCTCCACAGATTGTTTTTTACATTTTTTTGCAATCTTAACTATTTATTTATGATAAATACTAACAAAAGATTGAAGAACTTTCAAAGATTTGTGAAGGAATTTTTGGTCTCTTCTGTTTAGTTCTTGTTCCACTGTGCTTTGCATCTTTGCCTGCCCTTGTGGTATTTTGCCCGCTGTCTGTGTTCCTGCATCTGCTGCATTCGGCCTGGCTCACTCTGCTTGCCTTGCTGCTGCTGCTGCTGCTGCTGCTGCTCTCTCTCCCTCTTGCTCTCACGCTGCTCTCGCCCTCACATCAGAGAGCAGCTGTTACTGTTTTGCCGTGGCCGAGCTGACCCTATCTCGCTCTCTCGCTCTTTCGCAGACTGCTGCTTCATTTCTTGTATTGCATTCCCACTGACCCTCAGATTGTGTGCTTCTATCTCCCTTTCTCTGTCGTTTAGCTTTTGCATTGCATACAAACCCTGCCTCTTGTCCTCCCTCTCTTTGGCTGCCCTTTTTGCTTTTTGCTAAATTTGCATTTTCTACCCGTTTTTATATCAAATCACAAAATGGTATGGATTAAAGGAAGCATTTCCAAAGAAAAATACATAAATGCATAAATATAAACATATGTAAAACTGTATATGTATGTCTGTATGTGTATTCAAGTCTGAACCGATTTCTAATGGGTATCAGAAGCTTCTGCACTCGTAGCTACACCCTTCCTCTGCCCCGTTCTTCTGCTTTTCATGATCACTTATTTTGCATTACGTTTTCAACGTGCTTCTGTGCTCCCCTCCCATTAGTTCTTATTTCTCTCTGCTCGTACTTCAGCTTCAGCTCTTCTCACCTTGTCTCAACTTCGGACTCGTCTCTGCAATTCTGTATTTGTTTCTCCACACCCCTCTCGAAGGTCGTT